GACAATTTTCCAAGACGATATGAAACCTTCAAAAACTTCTGGCGTTTTGGCTGAGCATACAGCACCTCGTCGGTTTATTACAGTTTCCATTGCAAACTTGAAGGGAGGAGTTTACCATAAGCGACTTTGAAACAGCCCTTTTTGTATTCTGGGTTGTCTCAGGTCTTGAAATGACACTTCAGTCCATTTTTCTTGACCACGGGGTTAGAGTTTAACCAACATCACCACGGCCAACCCCTGCAGGAGAAAGTCCAAACTCGACTGAGGGATTCTTTAGGTGACTGCTTTCCACTTAAACCTCCTTTAAGGTTCTACATACCAAGAAATCACCCGTCTTTGCTAGCGTTTTTGCCTTCGGCATCACAGACGGTTCGCAATTCAGAAATCGCGTTTGGTATGTGTTTTTTTAAGGTATGTGCATTATTTCACAATTTGTTGACATCCCTTTTTAAAGGCCTGATTGAAGTTAGCCGACATCTTCTAAGAGCCTCCCTTCGGTAAGTTAGTTATTTGGACAAAATTAGGCTTATAATTATACAAACGGTAAGACGGTTATCTATCCGTTACCGTCGTGATTACATGAATGCTAAACTTATCAGTGGAGGTCGTGTGCAGCGACGCTAAGACCTTAGGAAAAGTCGGAAAATATTTGCTAATTTCAAGGCCCTAGGGTCCATTTTCTTTCTAGTCTTACTGAGAGCAAATCAGCGACTCCTGACAGGTCTTTGGACCATTGCATGAACCGGCAGGTAATCCTGCGCGGCGGTAGCAATCAGAAAAAAGCGTGTGGTCGTACGGCCGTTTTGCTCTGCAATTCAATTGTCCTGGGGCCCGGGGGAAGGGGGCGAGTGGGCGCAGAGGGGGGGGGGAAGGGGTAGGGTAAAAAGCGTGCCTACAATCATTTGGACGGAACACAAGAGATACGGTGTACTGCTGTGCCCTCCTGATCTCCACGTCAGCACTTGGCTCAACGCCTAAGCCTCCTCCTACAGCCGTGCGAAGTATGAGGGGCGCGCGCCAAATGTTTATGCGTTTTGTTTGAGTGCTTAGTTTGGCAACTCTCGGGGCTGGCATAAATCGAAGGCGGCGTTTACCGTGGCCCATCATAAAATTCCAGTCTTGTTAATTGCTACGGTAGGGGTCGGTTACGATATCCTGGTCCCAAGTGTAGGCGCAATGTGGGCATTAGGGGAAAAGTAATTCGAAGGAGGATGCTGAAGTCGTTGGTGGGAAAGTAGCCGAAGCTAGAGCGGAAAGGGGCAACCTGATGTTTTGAATTAGAGTTAGGGTTAGTATCAGGCTGAGAAGTGAGGTTAGGGTTAAGGTTTGTTTTAAGTTTAAGGGCTCCGGTCAGAGTTATGGGGCAACGGTATGGAGAAGGACCCCACCTCAGTGACGGCAGCCTGTGGATCACGTCGTATGGGTTTTTATATTTGTATCCATTTGCAGGCCTTTGCAATAACAATCACTTCCCATGACTTCAAACCATCAGCCAAACTCCTTTATTTTTTTAAATTTGTTGTTTGTTTATTTTCAATTGCCGCGCAGATTTCCGTTGTCGTATGAGAGCGCACGATGAGTCTTTCAAGAGAAAATCCAAAAAATTTGTGTGCTTTCCTATATGTTGTCGGGTTACTATCTAGTGTGCTGCCCCACCCGTAAAACTCCCCTTATCGCCAATCACGTATGACACGATTAACAGCCTACCGACAGTAAAGTGCTGTTCTTCCCTATACCGTTGCCGAGTTAGGGTTTGGATTGCGGTTTGGGTTTGCGTTTGGTGTTAAGGTTGGGGTTAGGGTTATTGTTGGGGTAGGGTTAGGGTTAGGGCTAGGGTTAGAGTTAAAGTTAGGTTTGGGATTTGGGTTACGGCTAAGGTTAGGGACATGGTTTGGGTTAGGGCTAGGATTGGGGTCAGGGTTAAGTTCTGGCTTATGGTTAGGGCTAAGGTTCCTGGTAGGTTTAGGGCTAGGTTTAGTGTTAAGTTTAAGGTCAGCTTTAGGTCTACAAATACGTTAAGGATTATGTTTACTTCTGAGGTTTATTTTAGGTTTGCCGCCAGATTTGGGGGTATTGCTGCCCCGCGTGTCCTGTCAGCCAGGTGTTTTGAAGGGATTCTAGACTTCCTCCAATCTCGCGGCAGATTTATCCTACATCTGGTCGCCTTTTCCGTTTCAGCCTCGACTACTTTCCCACTATCGATTTCAGCATGTCCCCTCGGTTTAATCTACTTCCAATGTCCACACTGTTTACACTTGGGACCAGGTGGCATGCCGAAAGAGGAGGAAGCGTTCAGCAAGAGCGGTGAATTCTTCTTAGTATTTTGACTGCTGCACCTGTCTTCAACCAAGTATGTTAAGCAAGTGTGCATTTGGTCTCAATTTGTCCACAGAGTATGCTTTCAATCGAATCTCGTCCTAACTAACTCGAATCTTGCTCGCTATCACGCAGCCTGCTTCCTCATTGGGGTAGCCTCAGATACGCATAAATCTACAGTGGCCATGTGCGGCCGCGCAAAACTTAACATAGTCATTCGTGTTTTGTGCATTTTTACTGAAATAACCACTATTCAAACATTAATGACATGATTTATGTGAAATGGTGCCAAATAGAGCATTTTTACCCAACAAGGAGAGTTGTGATATACAAATTTGATAACAGGGAAAAATGACTGTTCGTCAAAGCCTGAAAACAAAAAGCCTTTTACGACGACTTCTTTGTTGTTTTCACGTTAATTTCGTCAGACGAAGATGTTTCCGACCGACTGTTAATAAAAAAACTGGACGAGAGATGGTGGGAGACTGCGGATGAACCGACTGTCTCCTAATTGGTCGGAAGTAAGGTCATGTAAGGCGCTGACAATCATCCAAAACGGCTTTCTAGACAGGTCTTTAAGATGCTGCCAAAGTTGTTTTCTGGAGTTACATTGCAGGTGCATGTTGACAGTATTCAAATCATTATCCAGACCGCAGCGGCAGCTCATCGAACACAACAACGTAGCATAGGACGGCAAAAAATCGACGTTAGTTTGCTGTCAACAGCCACCAATGCGATGTCTGGCGTCCTTGTCCAAAGCTCCGCCGTCTCAAGGTCATTAACCCCCTCAGCGAGCGGTTTCAGACACGCTGACCTGACGCCGCTCGGCGGACTTCATCTCGGACGCACGTGCGTCCACACGACAGCAAATGTCCATGCGCCCCTTGGACGCACCTCCCCTCGGCAAATGCAGCCCACGCCAGTTGGTAAACACTTGAACTAACCCCCCAGAAGCAGCTGTCACTCGGAATTTGGCCTGGTAATTATGGCGCTCTCAGACGTTACAAGTTAGCATTCGTTGAATTCATTGAAGATACTCGAATTCAGCTGGCTACGCCAATAATGTGACAACCACGCCTACGTTTTGTAGTACATGTCTGGTACTCAACATAGATCAGTAATTTGGACCACATATTGGCTATATACTCGAAAAGGCGATTTGTTGGAAGCGGTCGATAAGAAAAACACTGAATTGGCTGAAGGGAATTTTATTTGTCCGGCGCTTCATGTCCATGAAAAGCGCTGGTAGTCGCTCGAAGGGGCTTTCTAGACGAACGTCTAAGATGCTATCAAGACTATTCTTCCGCACTAACGTCCCAAGTGCAAGTCATTTACCGGACCCCAGCGCCAGCCCAGAGAGGACTAACCTGCTGACGGAGAAACCACAACTCCTGGACCGAGCATTTGGATGCCTCCTCAACTGTCATCTCAGTCTGCGAGGCGACCGTATAGAGAGACAGTCACAGGTGGCAGTAAATGCCTGCCCTGGTCGCCCGCCCTCTGTGCGCGGAATGTGACGTCCAGCGAAAAAGCGCTGAGCGTCGGCTCAACTCCGAAACAAGTCTGCAAACAATAATGTGGCTCCAACGTCTCAGCAGACTAGCTCGTTGTTCCAGGAGGTGTAGAGGAATGAGTGAATGCGAATAGACTTCCACCACCACCACCACCACCACCACCACCACCACCACCACCACCACCACCACCACCACCACCACCACCACCGACGACAATTCGACCGTCGGTTTCGGCGATGTCCACCGTGTGCTCCACAGCAAGGCGGAGCAGGAACAATGACTTGTGCGCGAGTTAGTTTATAGTAATAGCAGGCTTGCACAGCATCTACCGCACTCTCTCTTCCTCCCCCACCTGGATCCGGTATCAAGACAGAGTCAAGAAGACCAGAGGTGAGGGAGGGCGAAGGTGGCTGGCACGGCCGGCCGCACCTACGCGTGACACCATACCCCCTGGTCCACAATATACGCTTGACTGGGATTTTTCGCCAACAACAACAAAAATACCCCAACAGTGGCCAGAGCGACGAGGATGACTGGGCAGCCATGCTCCCCACTTGTGTAACCAGCGGGAGCGCAAGCGCATCTACCGGCAGGGAACCAGGTTTCACAGAAGTGCCAGCATATACCAGACTGCGAGGGCCATAGTTTGCTGATACTGGCATAGCACACGCTTACAGACTTTTTGTCCTAGAAGGGCAACACATGGTCCTGCATACAGTCTGGGTCGTCAGCCTTCAAGGTTAGGTAACCAAACAGTCTTCGGCTGAGTCTTCGGCTGAGTCGTCGACTGAGAGACACTGCACATATAGTACACACACTCCTCACATGTACGAGAGTGTCACAGATCGCTGGAGAAAGGGCCGCTCCAGCCCGGCTATCGACCCACCTATCCGCCACTCCACACAATACACACACACAGCTGGGCAGACTATGTGGACTGACTTGGGGTGTCAGTCGGCTCCCTTCCGAGCCACGGCGCTCGACGCACTTTCTTCGTCTCAGATTCCGATCAAACACGCAGCTGGGGGGCCGCATAGAGAAGGAGCCGAGAAGACGCACGCTTCCCACTTGCGTGGGAGACAGCAGTTGGGTGCTTATGGTGGGCGATGTTGATGTGCGATGAGATGCTGGTGAGAAAGGATGTGATGATGTGCTGCAGTCGGCGGTTGTCTACCGCGGGTTTGCGTAAACGCGCATGTGGCCTAATAGAACCATGCGGTGAATAAATGTGCAAGGACAGTGCAGACTGTGGAGACGGATGTCGCGAGTGTAGGTTGGTGCTTCAGGCACTGAATCTCCAGTCTCTGTGCGATGAATTCGCAAGTTACCGACCAGACCGATGTGTGAGGTGAAGGTGCGGTCACAATTAGGACAAGTATTGACCAGATGCTCACCACTGGTATGGACGGTGGTGGTGTTGGTGTTTGTTGGCGTGTCAGGATTGTGTTTAATGTTGGTGTGCGTGGCAGACGCCACAGCGGCAGACGTTGAGGCAGTAGGAAAGGAGGAGGAGGAGGAGGAGGAGGAGGAGGAGGAGGATGGAAGTGGTGGTTCGGGGGAGGCGGTCAACGTTAGTTTATGGCGTGGGAGGCGAGGGAGAAGTGGACGGATAGACGACGATTGGCGCAGTCTGTGTGATGCAGTTGGTCCGAAGGTGTCCAACAAGTCCAATTCGTGCCTGGAATGTCCGTTGGCATCGTGGACACGTTGACGGCGGTTGTGCGTTGGCATTGTGGGTTGGGCGCAGCTGTGACTTGCGTGCTTCGCGTTTGGCTTTTGCGGCAACGATGCGGTTGGCTTCGTATATCGCAGCGCCTGTCTTAACTGTCTTTCTCCAGGTCCGTCGGTCTCAAGCAAGGCATTTCCAGTTGGCCGGGCTGATCTTCGGACGCTTCAGGGAGGTCTTCAGAGTGCCCTTGTATCGACAGATTTGGCCTTCTTGGCTGCACAGAGTCGGTTAGGTAGCTGCTCATAGTCCATCCGCACGAGGTCGCTACTCCAACGCAGTTGCAGTTGTTTCAGCATAGCGTAGATGCTGAGAATTCCCGTTCGCTCCAGTACGTCAGTGTCGGGGATCCGGCTCTGCCACCTCAGCTTCTGTACCCGTCGAAGACAGATGAGGTTGAAGTGGTTGAGTCTGCATGGCTGTTTTTGTAGACCGTCCAGTTATCCGCTCCATACATCTGCATCGGCAGGATGACTGCCTTGTACGTCTTCAGTTTCGTGCTGGGTTGAAAACCGTGATGCTTCCAAACCGTGTTTTAAAGGCAACTTTCAGCGTATCGCGATAGTTTAGAGCCGCGAGTGTAGTTGTTTATAGTAAGAAGTCTAAACGTGCAATTCAAGCCAGATCTGGCTTCCTTTTCCCTCTCCTACAGTGTGTCAATGGCAAATTTGAGTCGGGTCGACTGGTACGCAATTAGGCGTCGTGGTTAATATGGTCAAGACTTCAGTCTGTCGCATGTAACTCCATGTTTTTACTCCGTCTAGGTTTGAGGTAACATCACGGCCTATTTCAGGGATCAAGGCCACACCCGACCAGCAATAGTTCACTATGATTCTGCCCATTGTTGACGTCCGTTTATAGCCTGTGATACTGGACTCCTGTAACTGACTGAAAGGGCAGGCATATGTACAAGCTGTTCCGCACTTAAACCTTTCCTTTTTTACTCCTTCGTTTCAAAAAAATACAGGACTAGCGTCCTCAACACTTTATGGGTAAGATCGCAGTTGGTAACCAGACATTATACGGTGATACTGTCGACGTACGTATTGTTATCGGTAGGTGAGCTTACCTTGTCTAGGGAACTTGTTGTCAGTAGGTGTGCTCTTACTGAGTTAGGCAGTCGCCCGTTTCAGTCAGGCTGTTGGGTTTAAAGAGGGTTACGGTTAGGCATAGGTTAAATTTTAGGATTAGGGTTTGCGTTTTAGGGTCGGGTTTCAGTGTTAGGGTTAGGGTTAGGGTTAGGGCCCCCGTGGGGGTTAAGGTTAGGGTTAGGGTCAAGGTTAGAGCTAGGGTTATGGTCAGGTTTTGGGTTAGCGTTGGATTTTAGGATTTTGGTTACGTTTCGATTTTGAGGCTTAGGGTTAGGCTTTACGCTTGCGATCAGGGTTGGGTATTTGATTAAGCGTAGGGTTTAAATTTCTGCCGTTGTTCCACCTACTTAAAACTCCCCAGCACTTTCCTCGGTAACTTTACTTTTACCCGGAAAATCAAGCATTCCTCTACCAGCCCTTCCATTTACCCCATCCATATAACTCCCTTTCCCACCATTCCCGTACGACAGGGTCCTGGCTGTCCGCCTCCCCATTCCTGGCTACCGACTGCGATCTAACCCTTTTATGAAATTGAATAACCGAAAATTTCAATAGTGTCTTTACCATGGCGAGAAATAAAAAAGCTCACAGCGTCGCTCCTGACAGCGTGCGACTAACTATTCACCCGATTGAGACTGTAGCGCTGGAATCACGTACAAGCCTTCCGCCTCTGGCACATAGGTCGCGCTAGGAATCATGTTAGTACGGCGCCCGAGCAACCGGAAGATGCGTGCATGCTGCCTCTAGGGCAACCAATCACATGCGCCCAAAAACTCTGCTATCATCCAACCGAGTGACTAAGCTGACGCTGACTGACTCTCGCATGACACATACATTCACGCCCACCTAACCCTTGCGGACGGGCGCGCAGACAGGGAGCCGGCTGCACGTCGGGGGGCTCTGACCGCCGCTGTTCTCCTGTTTAAAGTACATGTCTCCTATAGGTGTTTTTCCCTTCCCCTCCGAAACGGGAATGGGCCGTGATTAATGGTGGCGCTCTGAGTACATTCATTACTCACAGACGCTATTGCGAGTACCACACCAATCTCAAGTCGCTGCAGTAGTTTCCGAGCGCGTCTGGTTCTTTCCAGCCAGAACGCTGGGCGTTCAATACGAGCTGGATTGAGCTCACTTTATCTTTCCCCTCTCATACACTAGTTGCTTCCTTGAGTTAGTCCATCTGGTTGGATGCAGTGGCTGGTGTGACGTCTCTGTCTAACAGGTGTCTCACACGGGCTCAGATCGCACAGAAATGAAAGGCGCCGTAGAGGCCACAGCAGAAGGAGCCACTGCAGCCTGACCCTTGTTCCACAGCTGACAGCCTTCCAAACCCTAAATTATAGAATGTTGTGGTAGTTTCAAGCGCTCCAGATTTATTTCAATGAGAAATGCGTTGATTTTAACTCAGTATTAGCCCTACCGGCCTTCCCTCTCCCCTGTAGAGGGGGGGGGGGGTCTGTCAGCCAACCGGGGGGATCAGGTTGGCTGCGCTGTCTGGCGTGGAGTCAGCGTCCGTCCAACGCATGCCACATTCGTGCACGGAAGTAGTTGGGGGTTCACGCCGACTCAGTGCAGCCGCGCGAGCGCGTGTCATAAGACAATGCGGGTCCCGTTTGGGTGCAGTCCGACGGGGGACGGTCTTCTCACTGAAGAAATGATAAACAGTTCACTAGAGGATGAGGAAGGATAAGGACTTTCAATAGATGGTTGAGCGTTTTGTTCGTGTACGCCTTCAGTCCGATGTAAGGTCAATTTCTCACATTAACTACGCTGGAGACGTGGCTTTATGGTTTCTTGTTACACACTGTATATTCTGCATAGCTGTTTAATGTCAGAGGCATTGGAGGCCGCACGAGAACCGGTGGGCGGATCAGCACGTTAGCTGCTCCACGAGGAGGTCAGCATACACTCAGCCATAGGATTCGGTTCCACTAGTTATACTTTAGACAGCCAAAAGCACGACTACTTCTCCCTCAGTATCTCGGCCTGCTGGTAATAAGTCTGTTCTTTAATTAACTTGCTGGCATTGAGTGGGCTTCCAATCTTATGTCAGACTGGGACATCTGTTTACAAAGGCATACCGCAAACCGTCAGTCCGACCGTCGTTGTCGAGGTATCCACCACGAACTTCAGAGCAGGGGGAGAGTAGGCACGGTAACTTGCGCGTGAATTAGTTTATAGTGGTAATAGAGTTGCGCAGCACCTACCGCACCCTCTCCT